CCCCCCCCCCCCCAGCCAATGAGACGACCAATTGGAGCTGGCTTCCCCACGACGCACGTGCCAAGCCCATGCATCCAAGTGACCGCGTGTCCGTTTGAGCTGCCCGTGGTGGCCGGAGCTTCCAATTCCCGACGACGAGCTTTGAGCAGCGACGACGACGGGCGACGACAAAACGTCAACGACGACGACAAGCGGCAACAACGAACTCCCCGGACCGGCTGGCCAGCTCCGAGTCCCCACCATAGACCCTCCAACCCCCGGAATTGGCATGCGACGCCCGCTTTGAACCACACACACAAATAACACATACACCTGCCTGCACATATACACCCATACGCCCACCGCAGCACGCAATGGCACCGAAGCGCAACGCCAACCAGCCGTCGGCAAAGGAGACGGCGGCCGCCCCTGCCGCCCCTGCCGCCGGCGCCCCCGCGGCCGCGGCAGCCCTCTCCTCCACCAAGCCCGCCAAGGGGTCGTCGTCGCCGCCCCGCCAGGGCTGGGACCAGATCGCCAACAACGTCGTCGAATACTACCAAAAGTCCACGCCCCAGCGCACCAAGCTGATCGACGTCTTCCTGGCCTTCCTCGTCGCCGTCGGCGCCCTCCAGTTCCTCTACTGCATCCTGGCCGGAAACTACGTACGCGAGGCCGCCGCCCTCTGTCGACGGACACACTTGCTCTTTTGTTCCCATTTGCTGACTCTGTGTGGGCGGACTTTGACAAATAGCCATTCAATGCCTTCCTCTCGGGCTTCTCTGCAACGGTGGGACAGTTCGTCCTGACTGGTCAGTCGCTACCACTTGTGCCCTCCCTTCCTCGACAGCAGGAGGTTTGTGATGCTAAAAGTGCACATATGGCGAACTAGTCTCGCTCCGGATCCAAGCCAACGAATCGAACGCTTCCGACTTCCCCTCGATTTCTCCAGAGAGGTATGGGTCTTCAGAATCTCCCCCGCAACACCTCTCCTTCTCCGGAATTGCATCTGACCCACCTTGGAAAACTTTCAGGGCTTTTGCAGACTATGTCGTAGGCAGCTTGATCCTGCATTTCTTCTGCGTCAACTTCATCAACTAGTGTTCTGCGCACGAGCGTAAGGGGATGGGAAATGGTAGTTGGGCGGGCCGTGAAAGTCTGCTCAAAACAAAAGCGCAGGATGACCAGGGAGTCCGGGCGTCGTGAATGCAACGGCTGTACAGATATCACGACGAAAAAAAGAAACAGAAGCCATTTCCGAGCAAGGTCGCCCATAACAATATCGAGCCAGCATTGAAGCAAATCTGTGCCGCGCTTGCAACCAGCTTCCTGATTCGAGAGCTCTAAAACTCTAACACTGTATATCACCGGTTTATAGAAATAGAAACGGGGCTGGCCAGGAACAATTCTATGATGGCAGCGGCGTCCGAGAGAAAACAAAAATACTGTGATGTCAGGTTTCCACTCATGATGCCTCCTCGGCGTCTGCTGCTGCTGCTGCTGCCGCAGGTGGTGGTGGAGGGGGCGGGGTAGCAGCGGCGCCTGCCCTGGGCGGCGGCCCCGTGCTCGTGGCCCGTGGTGGCGGCGCCACGGGCGTCGCCCTGCCGCTCGACGCCCCGCCGTCCAGCTCCCTGCTCTTCTGTTCCTGCTCCTTGAAGTAGTCGTTCATGGCCGCCGCCCCCTTGCCGCCGCCGTGATGTCTGTCCTTCTTCTTGCCTCGCGGTGGCGCGGCGGTGGCGCCCGCCCCTTCTGTTGCTCCCACCAGTTGCGCCGGGACCAGGAAGTCGCCACCGGCCTGCGGTGGCGGCGGGGGCTGCTGCTGCTGCTGCTCGCCGGGCACAAAGACACTCGCGCCGTCGGATAGGAAGGGCGGGGCCTGGGCCATGTCTGCCGGGTAGCCGCCACGGTATTGGCTCTGGTGGTGGTGGTGGTCGGGTTGGTCAGCGGTGGCGGCGCCGCCGTCGAACATGGTCTCGCCGGGCGCCTCGACGGGCTCGTTGAGCGGGGCGGGCAGGCGGTGGAGGGCGCCGTAGCCGAGGACGCAGCCGAGGGCGCCCTGGCCGCCCCAGTCGCGGCTGGGCTGGATGGAGAGCAGGCGGGTGACGTCGTACTCGTGGTTGTAGACGTAGACGCTCAGGGGCCTGCCGATGTGCTCCTCGACCAGCTCGCCGAGCCCGCCCTCGCCCAACAGCACGCCGTCGGGCGAGCCGAGGATGTAGTCGCTGTAGGGCAGCAGGCCGGCCTGGTCGGCGGGCGACTTGGCGGGCACGTCGAGCACGTGCCAGATGTTGGACACGGCCGACAGCGGGGTCCACTGCAGCGTCAGCCCGAGCGAGGCCGTGTCGGCGGGGACGGGGATATGGAGGGCGCGCGCGCGTTGGCCCTGGGAGGGAGGGGGAAGAGAGAGAGAGGAGACAGTGTTAGCTTCTAGAATCGGTGATGCGGCGCGATGCTCATGCAGAGGCAGGGAGGGGGTGTCGCATCCTCATACCTTTGCGCTCCACAGACCAAAAGTGACGGTGCCGCCGGCGCAGTTGCGCACCTCCTGCGCGAACAGGCGGGGGTCCGGGTTGTCGATCATGCGGCCGTTGATGCCGACGACGAAATCGAACCAGGGCTCGACTGCGAGGTCCGGGTTGGCGTTGCGCAGCACCTGGAACCCAAAGGCGAACTGTTGGCCGTTTTTTTGCTGCTGCGGCGCATCCCCGTCTAGCCGCGAGATAAAGCGGTTGAGCGCGTTGAACATGGCGCCGGCTTGGACGAGGTTTTCGCCTTTGGTTGCTCTCTGTTAGATGCGCCGTGGTTGGTTTCCGGGTACGTGTTGTCGTCGTGAGCCGCGTGGACTAATGTGTTTTCTCGGGTTGGGTGTTTCGGTTTCGGGTTTGAGACGAGGCAATCGACATGTGCCATCTGACAGCGTCAGTGGCCAGCTCAGCTGTCCTGAAGCTCCAGCGCCGCCAGCCTTGTAACTGTGGGGTTCAGGGGTGTGTTGACACGCTAAAACGCTTGCAGTGCATGTGGGTCGTCCTGGACCTCGATGGAACGCGTGTGAGCAGCGTTTGTATCAAGCTCAACATCCATCATCTGTTTAACCTGACTTGAACACAACCGCAAATATGCAAGAAGCCCCAAGACTGGCTCTGACGGAGCGCTGCCTGCATTACAATGAGCTCAGTGAGGTTCCTGAGGAGATAAAAAAGTGAGTCTCCTCCCACGCATCACTGCCATTCAGATCCTAATCTCATTCGCCCTGCCAAGATACTGGCAGCAACGCTACTCGATATTCGAGTGGTACGACTATGACATCCGCCTCACCCACGACGCCTGGTTCGGCGTGACGCCAGAACCCATCGCCAAGTAAGTTTCACAACTTGGGTATTCCCCCTTTTTATTTTATTTTTTCCCCTCCATGCCAACCAACCAACCGACTTCAAGCAAGATAGCAGACCACCTCTCCTCCTGGGCCAGCGAGGACAAGGACACGGTGGTGGACATCTTCGGCGGCGTCGGCGGCAACGCCATCGCCTTTGCCCTCTCGGGGCGCTGGGCCCGCGTCATCGCCGTCGAGAGGGACGCCGACACGCTGGCGTGCGCCCAGCACAACGCTGACGTCTACGGCGTCGCGGACTGGATCACGTGGGTCCACGCCGACTGCTTCGACTTTCTCGCCCAGCAAAAGCAGCAGCAGCAGCAGCAGCAGCAGCAGCAGCAGCAGCAGCAGCAGCAAGAGCAGGGCCAGGACGGCGAGGGCAACGGCAACGGCGCCGCGACCAGGGCGTCCTCCTCGGCTACCTCCACCTTTTTGCCCGAGAGCCTGGCGCTTCAGCCGGACAAGACCGTCATCTTCGCCTCCCCGCCCTGGGGCGGCGTCAACTACGGCGAGCAGGACGTCTTTGACCTCTCCACAATGCAGCCCTACAACCTGGCCACGCTGCACGCCGCGTGCTGGCAGTATGACCACGTCCTTTACCTGCCCAGGACGAGCGACATTAGGCAGATCGCCAAGCTTGTTCCCGATGGTTGGGACAAGATTGACGTCACTCAGTATTGTATCCATGGCGCGAGCAAGGCCATGGTCGCCTATCTCCCTGCCAAGCTACCCAAGCGGAAACCGCGAGGTGGACATCAGGTTGCGTCGGCATGAGTACCTAGTCGTAATTTGCGCCTCGGTCGCTCAGGCTTCTTGTTTTCGCACGGCTCAGTAGCCCATAATCAGTTTGATATCCCTCTTACAGCTATTTCATCTCTGCCTACAGCGCCTTGACTATGCTCCTCTCGTCAAATATGTCCTTCAAAAGTCCCTGAACGCAGTGATCCCAATCTGGCGGCCCCATGGCATAGGTCGCCTCGAAGGCGAAGATGCTCAACTGCCCGAAGAAGGGCCTCAGGACCTTCGCGATCAGCTCCTCGCGCCTCTCCAGAGCCACTTCGTCGCTTATGCCACCCGAGCCCAACAGGGTCCGCTTGTTGTAGCTGCCCGTCGCCGTGTGGGGGGCCGACTCGGCGAGCGGCTGAAGGGCCGAGTGCGCGCCTCTGGACATGCCCACGGACCCCAGCTCCTCCGACAGCTCGTCCACTAGCGCGACAGGCTGGTATGTCGATGGCCTATGCACGGCGTCGATGGTGTCTGTAACAAAGAGCCACTCGTGAAGTTGGAAGTCGTCTGGCGCAACGCAAACCAGCAGGTCGAGAAGTTTGCAAGCCTGGAGGACCGAGACGTTGTTGTACGTCTCAGACGGCCCGCTGTGGTCAGGCGTCACGACTGAAGATATGGCCGCATGGAGCTCCGCGTTGATGATGGGCCAGAGCGGCGCCAGATGGATCGCGCTCGTCTTCAGCACTAGTGCACGCACAACCATGAAAAGTTCCGCCCTTGTCGTGGACGATGGCGACGACGTTGCGGTTGCTCCTAGCAGCTCCACGAGCTTATCGAGGATCTGGGGAAGCTCCGAAACGAAGGCGTCAGATGCCGACGCGAGCACCAGGACCGCTATCCGGCGCATGTTGAGCTGGGTTCTGCGGTCGGCTTCGAGCCGAGCTGAAGTGGCGCCGACCCCGAACACGATGCCGGCTGTTGCCGGTGGTGTGATGCGGCCAAGTATCTCGGGAATCCTGTCCTTGTCGTTGACTGCCCATTGCCGCAGGAGAGGAAGCCAGTCGCTGGCCACGAGGGATAGGGAGGTGCCGAAGAACCTCGTGTCGTTGAAGGCGTCGGCAACGTCCTTCTTCCACGTCTTTTGGTTGTTCGGCAGTCGCGAGAGCTCCTGCAGTAGCACAATCGTGCTTTTAGACATGGTGTCCGGAAACCCCTTGGACCGCAACGTTGGGCCGATCACGTTGGTCGATATGACGACCGCTGCGTTCAGGACACGGTCTGGCTCGACGAGGATTTTAGTCAGGTTGGGAACAATGCAGGACAGCACCTCCACGACATCGTCTGCTCGCTCAAAGGGACTTCTTGTGTTGAATCCGGGTCTCTCTGACAGCTCGGGGCTTTTGGGCTTCTCGGGCGACATGTCTGTGAAATTCAAGGGCCTTGCCGTGAAGAGCGCGGTGAGGAGGCGGAGGAAGAGGTCCTGTCGTCGAGAAGAGTCAGCACATGAAGGCTCCACCAATATCAACTCGCCGGCTTGGAACACTTACTCCTAATTCCCTCCGCATCTTCTTCTGCTCTCCAAAGTTGGTGTTGTCCACCTTCTCGCCGAGGATGGCTGCAAACTCTAGCAGACTGGGCAGTGTTTGACGGTGTGGGAACGGGTTCCCGAGGAGGTCCTTGAGAAAGAGCATGCAATCTTGCCATATCTCGTCCATGGCATCGTCCTCTAGCGACCTGGCGTACTCGACGAGGAAGATTACAATGTCGGTGTCCTGAAGCTCCACAGTCAGCTTCGACTTGCGTGTCGAGTCGAGGGCACCGGGATTGGCCCTGCTGTAGATGGCATTGAAGAGGGCCGGGATCGTGTGCTTCGGGCGGGAGCTGTCGAGGGCGGGGAGAAGATCAAACACTTCTGTTTGTAGCTGCTGTTGTAAGGGCATAGATGGCCCCGAACCCCGCCAGATCTCGACCATGGTCTCCATGCACTGAAGGGTTTCGGCGGCAAACAGGTGATCTAGGAGCCTCCTGGCCCTGTTCCTCATTCTTAGAGACGTGTAGTTGAAGGAAGAAGCCGAGGCCATGTCCTGCATCCCCGCCTCCGGCCCCTGTCCCCATGACCATATCTTGAAGCAGATGCGCACTGCATCCTGAAACGCCAACAGCACTGTAAGTCTGTCGTTGGCGGTAGCGCTCCTGGACTGCGGCGCATCAGACGAGAAAATGGTTCCAAAAAATCCTTGCGGCTGCTCCGGGCTTTTGGTAACCGAAGCCCTGGCCTCCTCCAGCAGTAGCTGATCGTGCGCTTTGGCTAGAACTTGCTCGAGCGCGTTGAGGAGGTATATGAGGACTGTCTCCGGGCCGGTGGCCGCGTCGCCCTCGGGCTGACCGGGGTCTTTGAACATTTTCTGGAGACCGAGAAGTGTGTTGCTGATCTGGGAGCAGAGGGTTTCTACCAGGGGGATGAGGACCTGGAAAATGGAGTCTGCATATAGGGGGATGACGTCGCCGAGGAAGTTGACCCAGCTATCAAGGACTATACGGCTTCTCAGAGAGCTCAGGCCGGCCTGTATACAGCCTAGTAGGGCTTGTGGTGGTCCTCGTGGCCGAGATGGTCCTTCGCCTGCGTTAGAAGGCGGCCTCCCGCTCCTGGTGGGGTCGAGGCCAGTCATCCGCTTCTCCGAGGCTGCAAGCGGTGACAGCGGTTGGTCAACTATGACGGTGGCACGTAGCTTGAGTGATGCGAGGACCACATCTAGGAGTAGGACCTGGATGTATGGATCCGCTCGAGAGAGCGACTGTGAAAGTTTTTCGAGCAGGATATCCTCCAGGTGTAACTCCGCTAAAGAGATCGCGTAAGGATTGCCAAGGATATGATGCAGGATTGCTAGCGCGGAGCGACAGAGCTGTGCCGCTCTGCCGTCTGGCTGCTCGTCGTCCGACGTCACGTCGAAGGTGACGCATCGTATGCAGACCTGTATAAAAAAGAGCAGGAAAGATATGCTTGTCTCTCCTCCTGGAGCCCCGAAGCCACATCAGTCAGCATAAACACTACTATTGAGGCAGCAAAGTAAATACTTGCCATTGTGCTTCTCAATTTCCTGCTGGCTTGGCTCGTCAGACACTGTGTGTTTCGTGAGCACAGCCCAGATACTTCCCGGCGCCCATCTCAAGGTATTTGATAGCCCCCTAATATAATAAAGGCAGAGGTTCAAATCATCGGTCTCTCGGAGTTCGATAGTCTTGGACACGTCACTTGCCACTTTGTTGAGTTGCAAGAACCCTAGGTCTAGGAACTTGCCAACAAAGATGGAAAAGAGTCTAATTAGAAAGAGACGTACGAAGTTAGTTAGTGGTGAGGCTGCATCTAGGGGCTCGATGGTGCTTACTTGTCAACTCCATTTAGAGTATTGAGCCAGAACTTCACGCTCATGAAGAGCTGTCCCCTGTCGTCAGTCAAGGCATCAAGGACGAGGAAAAGGGGCCTCGTGAGCATGACGTCGTAGTGGTCCATGCCGGCAAGCCTGGGAAAAGTGCCTTTGTACTCCCCGCCGTGGCCAATCCGTGGAGTCCTCGGCCCCCTGCGGTCAGAATTGGAAGGGTTGTCTTGTAGAGTGTGTGACCAGAGGACGCCGAAGCTGCGCCCAGCATCGACCGAGCGGCCGACAGGGGTGTCACCTGTGGTGGCCTGTTGGGTTATTAGACTCGAGATTGCGGCCTCAATGTCGCGATTCTGGGCCCCGAGGGCCGTCTGGAGCTGCCACAAGCCTCGGACCGTCTCAACATGGTACTTTGGCTCCGGCGCAGAGAGATAGAACCAAGCATGCCGCACCAGCTTGGGGACTATCTCGGAAAGCTCGATCTGCGAGACGCGGCTCGAGGAATAGAGAAGAGTTGTGAGAGATAGGAGGGATGAGAATGTGACAAAGTCGAGTGGTGGGCGTGTGGCGAGGCGGTCGTGTACGGCATTGAGGAGATTTTTGTCCTTGAAGGGCGCCTGGGCCGGCGCCTTGTTCAAGAGAAGGAGCAGGATGCGACTCTTGATCCCAATCGCAGTCCCTTGGTTCTCCTCATGGAGTGCCTCGCAGTTCAGGCTGCACGCTTTCTGCAACAGCAATTCGCCTACTCTCTGGCCTGAAAAGGGGGCCGAAGTCGCCTCCAGACTCCCCTGGTCGTTTACGTAGAAGCCCTTGATCCTTTTCAGGATATCCACTGTTTTTGGTGTGTCTTGGGCACCGTCAGAGTTTGCCTTGACTTCCGATGGTAGGAACGCGCGCTCGGGAACAAGTTCCAGCAGGTCGCCCGCGATTCCGAGAGCCTTGGCAGATATTGAATCGCTCTCCTCGGCATCACCCGAAGCTGCCAGCCGGTTCCTTGCTTCCTCTAGCATGCAGAGGATCGACAGTGTAGTCAAAGGAGCGTGGATTGTTATCATCTCCTCTTCCCTCACGTTGAAGTGCGTGAGCACGAACTTGACCAGGGCAAGCCTGTCGCTACGCTCGGCAGACTCTAGGGTACCAGGTCCGAGGGCAGGCGCCAAAAGGCCGAGTAGCTCGCCGTAAATCAGGCCGCTCTCGACGCCATCGAAGAAGACGCTCGCGCTCCGGAGCACTTCGCCGAAATCTAGCTTGGACGGCGCCTTGGCCTTGTATTTGCGCACACTGTCGACGATGGGTAGAAAAACTTCGGGGACAACCAGGCCTCCAATTTCCCAGCGGTCCATAAGCGAGAGGCATATGCGATAAGGGCGTGCCCTATCAGCCGGGGCCCCTTGCTCACTTGCCTTGATCATAGCCAGCAACGACCGGCTCAGGGCTTGGAGTCCGTACTCTTCGAAGTAGTCTGCCTTGGGCGTCGAGTGGCCAGCGTGATGTTCTGACAAGGAGCTCGGGGATTCGGGCACATTCTCGGAATCAAACGCTCCAGCCGTAGGCTCCGGTCCCAGCAGCCACGCCCATAGGCGCCTGTTGAGACTCATTTCTCGCCGGGTGACGACTCCAGCGGCTGCTCTGAGAAGTAGCTCGAGATCCGTGGGCTTCACACGTGCTTGAAGCACCTTCGAATGCAGAGGAAGGTGAGTTACCAGCAAATCGAGGTAGCCTCGCTGGATCAGCAGGTTTTCGTCGGCGAGACCGGCGGCGAAGCAGCGTAGTAAAAGCCCGGGCTCAGGGGAGGTAACTAGCTGTGCGATCTTGAGTGCAGAATCCGGGACAGCCTCGTCCTCGCGCTCGCCGGACTGGCTGGTCTCAGGGGCTAATGGGTGGCCTAGACTTGGCAGGTTACGAATAAGATAAGCCAAAGCACCACCCCGCCTGCTTTGGCTGGTGATGGAGGCTAAAAAGAAGCACTGCCAGAAGAACGAGTCGCCAGAGGAATGCGCAGTCGTTATTTCCTCGCTGTTTGGCGGCCGGATGGCAACCTTGAAGCGGTCCATCAGCTTAAGTGTCTGCTCGAAGTCCTCCGCCGTCTCATCTTCAAGCCCAGGGAGCAAGGCCAGCACCACCGACTTTAGTGCTGGCCGCAGAGAGCGCGGGTTGAGGTCCAGGAAATGGCGCTCAAGCAGGTCGAGAAAGGGCGATCTCACGGAGAGTGAGGCGAAGGACAGAGTGGAGGCCAGACCAGGCAGATAGAGGGGGAGATCTCTGGAAAGACCATCTTTCCCTATCACGGTGAAGATGTAGTGATAGACCTCGAGGGTCTTCTGGTGGACACCAGAGGGAAGCGTGGGGTTCAAGCATTGCGACAGGCGCTTTGCGACAAGGGCCTTGGAGGGGACGGTCGTGATGGCACTTGTTCGGGATTGGAGGGCCTGGTCAAGAGATAAGGTCAACATGTGGGGGATAGACAGTCGCATACAGCAGAAACAGCTGCAGTATTTCTGTGCTAACCTTGAGAAGCCTGTTCAGAAACGAGATGTAATCGGCCCATTCTTGCAGCGCCGTCTCGAAGAGGGACAGGGCCCTCTCAACGTTGGCGGCATACTTGCGAAAGTGCTTGTCTTTTGGGGAGTCGTCTAGGAAGGGAAGCGACAAATTCGCGTCAGCCCTGCCAGGTCAGACAGCTGCATCCGCTCTGGTCTGTCTCCGTACCGGCTCCTAGTTGGTTTCTCCATTGGCGAGGGATGGGGGACTCGCGGCCAGAGCTTGTCGGGGAGACAGAGGCTCCGCGGACCTGTTCAAACGCCATTCTCTGGACAGCAGCACTGCTCTGCTACTAAATCGGACGGGCCGGGACCGTGGCCTTGGGAGTTGGTTCTCAGCCGGTAAGCATCGCGTGGGGGGAGAGCGGCGGCGGATATTGGTGGTGGAGGCTGGCGTCGCGGCAGCCTTGAAGAAACACGTTGACGTCTCATTCAACGTATCCGACGATGCAGCGTGCGCTGAAGCTGGGCGGGCGGATTTCAGTTACGTCAGCGTCTTAGCTGCAGAGCTCCAGCCCCGTAGCCGCACGACCCCACCGCCTACGCGGCGCTAACAGCGCTAGCACGAGCTAGGAGCTCAGGGCTCCACCCTGCATCTGTGCTTTCAAGCTCGTAGCCCAAGCCATTGATGTTCGTGTCGTCACCGCGTCCCCTGAGTTCTTCCGTGTTGCCTCAGACAAATCATTGAGGGCCGACATCTTGTCATCTTCTGGAGCAGACGCCCGCCATGCGCGGCACTCCAATGGGAGAATTGCCCTCAACCTTTAACCATCGCCAAGATTGAATCTCTGTTCGTTTCATCATCGCATTGCCGCATCGACCTTCGCATCGGGGCCAGACCACGCTTCTGTCCCTGTCCCGAATCTCTGCCTCTCACAGAAGGATCATGTGGAGGACTAGCTACGGTATAGACACCGCTGCCGAAGATGCCCGATATGGTCCTGGATCAAGATATAGTCGTCCCCAGTCCCGCCGATGACTCGGCTACCCCCGAACCCGCACTAGAAGCCGAAGCCGAGACTCCCACTCCGCCACCTCCACTCCCCCCACGGCCCCGCCTGCCTGGCGCGCCGCCTGCCGATGGCGCCGCCAGCAAGATGCAGGCCAGGCCGACCACGGCGGTCTCGTCGGTCGACATCCAGACCATGTCGTTCCCCGACGGCTCCCGCGGCACCTTCTCCTCCTCGAGCCCCTCGGCCCAGCTCGCTAGCGGGTACGCCACTCCGATGGTTCCCGACGATTCGGCCAGCGTCATGACTTTTGCGCCGACTCTCAAGGCCCCTGGCGACCTAGAGAGTCTTATAAACCGGGAGATGAGTGCAAAGAGCCGCGCCTGGCAGCTCCTGAGAGCCCAGTCCGCCAGCCGCCCCCCCTTCGAGGTCGCGGCCGCCGGGCTTGGTCCCCAGGACGAGCTGGCCGGCTTCGCGCGCGAGTTTGACGGGTTGTACGACGCCGCGTCCTCCGGGGCGCAGGATGAGGAGGCGCTGCTTAAGTTGTGGAAGGCCAAGCTAAAACACTACATGATCCTGTCGTCGGCCGGCAAGCCCATCTGGAGCCGCCACGGCGATCCGAGCCTGATCAACTCGTATATCGGCGTAGTCCAGACCATTATATCTTTCTACGAGGGCGCCAAAGACCCATTGCAGGGATTTACAGCTGGAGGCACCCGCTTCATTATCGCCACCGAGGGTCCGTTGTATTTTGTGGCCATCAGCCGCCTCGGCGAGAGCGACTCGCAGCTGCGCGGCCAGCTCGATGCCCTCTACATGCAGATACTGTCTACCCTGACGCTGCCCAGCTTGACCAACATTTTCGTCCACCGGCCGTCGTCTGACCTGAGTAAGCCGCTCCAGGGAACCGAGTCCCTGCTCTCGGCCCTGGCCGACAGCTTCACCAGGGGCTCGTCTTCGGCACTGCTCGGCGCCCTGGAGTGTCTGAAGCTCAGGAAGTCTCAGCGCCACGCAATCAACAATGCCTTCCTTAAACAGCGGTCTGAGAAGCTGCTGTACGGCCTTATCGTCGCCGGCGGCAAGCTCGTGAGCGTCATTCGTCCTCGCCGGCACTCTTTGCACCCCAGCGACCTAGAGCTGATATTCAATATGCTCTTCGCATCGGACAGCATCAAAGCTGGCGGCGGCGAGAATTGGATCCCTCTGTGCCTGCCTGCCTTCAACAACAGTGGCTATCTTTACATGTACGTGAGCTTTTTTGATAAGCCAAGCGCAGATTCGTCCGAGGACCCTGCAGCGGTCCCTCCACCTGCCAGACCAGCGGCGTCCCTTGCCCCTGAGGACGAGATTGCCATCATCCTCATCAGCCCTGACAGGGAGAGCTTCTTCGAGCTCAAGGAGATGCGCGACAAGGTGGCTCAGAATCTGAGAAAGAACGGGGGGTTGTCTCTCATCAGAGCTGCCGCCGCCGCTGGCCGGCCGCGGGTGAGCGAGGTGGCCCCGGGCAGCCAGATCGCGCACTTCCTGTACAAATCGCGGGCCAATGTGCAGTTCGTCTCCTCGTCGCTCGACGAGGCCGCCTTCGCCGACGTTGTGGCGCGCCGCCGGCTATCGACGCACTACCACCGGCTGCACGCATCGGCGCATGCGCGCCACTCGCACCTCCGCGTTCTGCACTGCTCCGGCGAGGACTCGACGAGCCTCGCCTGGGTCACCCCCATGTTTGAGTTCTACTGCGTTGCCGGACCCAACTCGTCCCGCGCCGCTATGAGCCAGGGGGCCAACCGGATCGTCCAGTGGGCCAGGCGCGAGGAGGAGCGTCTCTTCATCGTTGGTGGCGGAGTCTTTTGATTATCGGCAGTTGCGCGCTTCCATTTCAGCACGGCCCAACTGGCCCCTTCGGGTGGGCTATACTAATGATGCGTGGTGCGCTCGTTGGTATACAAAAAAATAGTAGACAACAGCAGGGCTTCAGTAAATCTCAGCCCATGTGAATCCACCAGCACTCAGGAAAGACAGGGCGCCGCTTGGTGCCATTCTCGTCCACCAGGGTCACTTCCGACCTCCCGAGTGTTGGAAGGCCCACGTGTTCCTTGGCCTGGTACAACTGCCAGTCGGTCATGGTCAACTTCCCTCCCGACAACGGGTAGGGCGCCGGGTACCGACCCTGCGAGCCCTGTGTCTCCCCGGCTGGCCCCTCTCCATACCACCTCGCTCTCCGCCCGCCCTTCTCGCCCTCGCCACCGCTGCCGGGAGCCTTGCGTCGCGCGCCACACTTTCTTCGTATAAAGTCCACCGCACGCGGCACCATCGAGAGCACCTTACCCTTCTTCGTCGCGCCAAACCTCCCAACCCCAGCGCAATCCCCAAAACCCACGTCCGATCTCGTCGCCCGGGTCCCGCGGACCACCCAGAAGTCCTGTGAGACCTGACCGGCGGTCTCGCCCGGCGCGTCTGTGCTTTTCACAACCGCAGGGGCGGCGGCGGCGGGCCAGCCGCGGCCGAGCCCGTCGCTTTTCTCCCTCTTCTTCTTCTTCGTTCCCTTCTCGCGTGGGCTTCCGCCGCGCCCGAATAGCGAGGGCGTCGTCAGCGCGGCCATGGCCGGCCTGGGCCCCTCGCTCGCGTCCCGCCGCAGAGTCACCCAGTGCAGGTCCCCGTTGCCCAGCAGCGGCATCTCGCTGCCCAGGGTGCCGGGCATGCGGGGGTGCGAGGGGCGCGTCGTCGAGAACATGGCGCTGGTTTTCTGGTTGGGTTTCGACTAGGTCGTCAGCTTGGAGGGGTGGGACTCCGGACAAGAACGGTTGGGACACGGCGGGCGAGGGCCTGTGTGGGAGCGAGGGGGCTCTCTCTGTCGGCGATTTTGCCGCAACGCCACGGCCGATGTTCTTCGGATGAGCGGAAGTGCGGTCGCGGATCTATCCCGACTGATCGAGCCTCCCTCAGTCCGTCCCACCTTGTGTCCATCTTCCAAGGAAGGCTCACTCGATGAGAACGCTCTCCGCGTAGCTATAAGATGCGTTAGTTATAGCGCTAGCGCTAGGTCACCCACTTCTTTTCGTTATTTAAGACCACATCGCATTCGATACGCGGGCATTATATACCTTCTCCTGCCGCCACTCTCCAGCCTCCGATGGCTTCTCGCCCCGATACCGTTTTGGGAAATGTTGGTCGTGGCGGCTTGTTGTGCGAACTCAGATGGTCGCAAAGAAAGTAACTCTTGTGGCACTTCTTTCTTAGCCGCCACGGACTGGTCCCATAGCATGACCAACTGCTGGCCATGGCAGACAGATGTCATCGAAGGAGTGGCGTTCTAATATAACCGTATGTGCATTTCTTCGCGTATTATCTTTGGGTATTAGACTAGCAGAGTATACTAGACCACCTCGCCGCCGGTATTGAATAGTCCCTCCTGTCTCCTGCGTCTCCATTGGGTGGTAATTAATCTACTCAATCCAAGCCCTGCTCCCTGCCGTGCTTCGCCGGTGACAACCAAATTTGCAGCGCGTCTTGAAACCTTAAAACACCCAGCATATCTCCCTGTCTTAACACTAGAACAAACGACAGCCTAGAAGGGTGACTGAGCAGGTATCTCAAGGAAAGAAAAGAGGATACATAAGAGGGAGGAGTAACAAACTGAAACAAGGGCTTAGGTATGGAAAAAAGAAGCTTAACTATGGGTGGCTTCCAAGAATCCATCGCATTTCCTTTTCAAAAAAAAAAAAAGTCCTCCAACTACCTCGCCCTGTGGCGCTTGTGTATGTAAGTTTTCACCGCATGCCTCGCCCCTTTGACCAGTTTCGAGAGCTTATTCCGGACCCGGCTCTTGCTGCGCGTTCTGTCTTTCTTGGACGCGGGTACGGGCTTGTCTTTGAACAGGTCGCTCTGGCTGTCTGCCGCCCCAAGTGCAGCTCTGTTGGCATTGTTGCCCGCTCCTTGATTGCAACTGCCGTCTGAGGCCTGCCTGGATGCTTCGCGGCCGGTGCGACGCGAGAGTGACTCTGCGAGCCGCAATCGAATACCGGAGAATCTCCTTCTTGGTATTTGCTTCTGCGTATTGCCAGCGGCACCAGGAGATGTTCCGACGTCGTGTTCCGGAGAGACAACGGTCTCAGTGCTGGAGAACACCGGTGCGGCGGGGTTGATATCCAGAGATACACCCCGGGTGGTCTCCCGGTTCTCAGAACGGCATGGGCTCGGGCTCGGGGGGAGTGAGCTTGTATCTTCGAGTCGCGCACGTCCATGGCGCTCAGTGGGCGGAAATGGCCTGCTGATGTCAGGTGGTGACGTTGTCTCCAGGCTCGATATAAACGACGCCCCGGGAACCAAGCCGTTGCTCTCCGATGACTCCAATACGATTGTTGACGTGTCAATGACAGAGGCTCTTTTGATGGCCCCGGTCTCGGCCGAGTTGCCTTCGTTGCAGGTATTCTTGGGGATCTTCAGCTTGATTTTCCTGCACTTGGTCGACCTTGCATTTCTCAGGTTGCCGTCAAGACTAGATGATGGCACAGCTTCGCAGGAATCGGGTGAGCCAGGCGAAAAGTCGCTATCCTCTTGCCGTGGCGAACTCGACTCTGGGCTTGAAACACGCAGCTTGAGCTTGGAGACCTTGGGCTGAAGCTCGGTCTCCTCGTCTATCTGATGCATACGGGCCTCCGGGGCAAGAGCAACTGACGACTCATTCTTTTTCGATCTCGGAGTGGAGATGCTGAGTATCTGCACGATTGAGCGGCCATCGTCGGAATCCTCTCCGGATATCTGGGTGCTGGAGTTTGCCGGTGGGGAATGGTCTCCGGGCAGAGGTGGCAGGGCTTTGATAAGTTGCGGAATGCTGTTTCGCACACGAAGCTCTTTTGCGGGAGATATGGGCTTCGGAGCCAGCATTGGCGTCTCACTCCGAGCAGGCGATATCTCGATAGACACTGAATCGCGTTCCACCCTCCCGTTGATTCTGGTGTATCTCAACAGGCTATAGCTCTCGCGGCAGTGACGCCCCAGTGATCCCTGGCGGTCCCAGGTGCTGCTGTCGCCGTGCGATCCATCAAACCCGAAAGCAGGACTGGCTTCAGGCTCGGACCCATCAAAGGTCGTCGAGATATTCTCCCTCATCTTATCTGATATCCGGGCACTGTGGACTGGCTTGATGCTGCCTGACCGGTATCGCGACGAGGCAGGTTGAGAACAGGCCGCCGTCTCCGAGGAGCTATGCACCGTCTCATGGTCTGATTGCATCCAGCTAGAGATATGCTCCGAGACTGTAGTGTCGGAGTCACGGTACGTGTTTATAGTCACGCCCGCGGGACTTGCCGTATTTTCCGAAGACTCGACTGAGTCTGATGCCTGCGCAGTGCTTGGGGAAACAGCAGAAGACAAGCGACCACTAAATGTGTGGGGGGCACGTAGAACTTGTCTACACTCATTCTGACCAGTGCTTGACGCTGACCCTCCCCTCTCCGGATCCGGAGCACCATGGTCGGCCTGCTGATGGTTGGGTCGCGAAAAATCATCGCCATCCTGCTCCATTTGCGGTGAAGACAGATTGTTGGCCAGCCACTCTTTGTTCTCAGAGATAAGGGTCTCAATGCCTCGCTCCGAATTAGGGCTCAGATTGGACGGCAGGGGCTCAACACGAACAGGAGTGGAGCTAGGAGCAGCAGGCATACTCTCGGAGCCACGTCTGCTGTGGCTATTGTCGGACCGAGGGGTCGAGAAGCCGCTAGGCGAAGGAACATGACATGGCTTGGACCGACCCGACCAACTGTTGGTTGGAACAGGAGACCGACGAGAGTTCGCATTGTGAGCCAAGACCGGAACGAGTGGGCTGCGGGTCCTGAGGGCGCTGTAGTCATGTCTCTCACTATCGAAGTCTTCGGAATAGTCATAATAGAACGGACGCGAAGGGGCTTTCGAGTCTGGCGGGCGGCCGGGTGCGGGTGAAGAATACTGGTATTTGTCGATGATGGATCCAAAGCTCGAATTCCTGAACCTCGAGTCGTGAGTGCCATAATCAGTGGCCTCGGTAGATTGCATAGCCCAAGGGTGGGCTGGGCGAGGATGGTGGTAGGGGCCACGGTAGTCAGGTCCTGTGGAAGAAGAAGTGCGCTGAGATCGATGAGAGCCATGGCTGGAGTACGACCGCGTCGACCGGGCTGCCTCGGGCCTCATTGATGGGGGAGGACCCCGGCGGCTGCCTTGCCCGTACGCTTGCTGCGACCTCAAGACTCGGTGGTGGTCGGTCCTCTAGACATAGGGATCAGACACTGGACACAGCCACTGCTAACAATAGCAAAGTGTCTACAGCGCTGGTGATCGCAGTAAAAACACGGAGAGGCTCTTACATGAGAAACACGATCGATCCCAATCATCCTGCTGTAATCAACGTTCCCGTTCTCGGTGAGGGCAGGCGACGAAGGCCGGACCCCTGGGCGCTTGAGCCTGGTGGGATACGGATAAGGCGACCGGGGCCGTTGCAGAGAGGGAGGCATGGTCCCGGCAGGGCGGTTGCGTGCAGGAGGCCGTTGGCTATACGTCTTGGAGCCATAGCTGGTCATGGAGTAGGAGCGAAGGCCCTGGCTGTCGAACGGCGGCGGCAGGAAGCTGTGGGCCGGCTGCTGGCTGCCGGGCTCGTACATGGAGATGGTGTCCGAGGCGGCGTCTCTGTACGAGGGCAGACGCCTGCGGTCATCCCGGACATGGGTTTGTGATGGCGCATGGCGGCGGTGGTCCCCAGACTCAGAGCGCCTCCTGGGGCGGGGCGTGTCGTCCCAGTAGGCCGAACGCTCGCGCGGCAGTTGGTTGAAGGTGGCGGATGAACCGATGGGACGGATGGAGAAGATGCCGATGTCTCCCGTCTCGGTGGTTGTCTTGAGCATGCTCTCGAGCGGGCCAGGCGAAGGTAGCAGTGTGGCATTCTCATGGACGCTGCGCAGGTGGCGGCTCGGCTCGGCCGACGAAAGCGAGCCCAGACGGGCCTGGGAGTTATATGCGGCGTTCAGGGACCCATGGCTGGCAGCTGGTCGCGTCGTACGCGGGTTTTCCATTGGAGCGAGGGGCGAGGAGGGAACACAGGCCTGACCGCTCGTCTCCGAGGAGTTGAGCAGCCCGAGAAGCGTACATCTGATGTCTACCAAGGTACCGCACCTAAATGGAGACCAAAAAGAGAGCTGCAGCCTGTGACTCGGGCTTCCGCTGCGAATAAGATTACCAGGGTGAGGCAAGCAAAGGGAAAGGCTGCTTGCGGACGAGGGACACGAGACGGCACCGAGAAGGAGGATGATGACTTGGGCAAAGAGACAGCTAGGGGGAAATGACGGACTACACGAGTGTCGGTGGAAGCCGTCGCGGTGCGCAAATTGGGCCTTCTCGCCTTACGTTGATAGAGGTAGGTACCACACGTGCAGGAGGTAGGTATGCGCCTACTACCTCCCAGCCAAAGAAGTTGTTGCATTCCGCTTGTATCAACTCAGGCCAGTGATGGCGGGAGTCACCACTCCAAACCTCGGAAGGAGCCACGGATGGGTAGCGGGAAAAGACCACCTACCTGTAGGTCCCATCCTCGAGCAGCACTGCTCGCCCAGATCTCTCAAAGCTCTCGCGCGGAAGGCTCGACTTGACGCAGTAGCATCAGAATTGGCAGGTAGCCCCAGTCACTAGTCTCACGAAAACGGAAGGAACCAGCGGTTCGCCCCTGTGAACCATTGCCACGGGCACTTGCGGGAAATATGGGTACAACCAGTCCACAGCACTGGCTTCGCGCACCGGATATACCCCTGAGTTTACATGATGGCGAGGATGCACGGATCCCACGTCCGTGTCTTTCTGTCGAGCCTAGGTTCGGGCCATGACTGCGATCCCCCTTGAATCGTCAGCCGTCATTCTGCCCATCCAGGCGTTCCTTGTAGCGGCAAAGCAACCCAGCGCGGGGAGCATGCCAATTCCATGCCGGTTCCAAGTGGTTGTGTTCATCGGTAGGCACTCTCGGCCATTACCGAACCAAGCCCGTGATTTCCTCCGATCCGAGATGGAGATGGGACCGAGACTGAGGCCGGCAGTCCGGGGAACGGGCCGGGGCAGTAGCTGAGGCATTCAAGTGGGCCCGCCATGCCAGCTGACCGTTGGTGCGTTCCATGCCTGCATGCCTGGATGCGATGGCGTCCGCACCCACCGCGGTTGTCTCCGGGGCTGTCTCTGGGGCTGTGCTCGATTCAGACTGCGGCCGCCGTACCCAGAAAGATTGCAACAAAACAATCTGTGCTGGCCAGCCGCATCTTTTAATAGAAGCAGGCTCGGCGCCACTCTCGTCATCAGGATGCACAGCTTCAACAGACAAGGTGGTCTTCTTGGCCGGGCCTCGTCTCAGATGACCGACCACATGCGGCACGGGTAAAGCTCCCGCGGGATGGATCGGTGTTGTTCGTTACGAGACTCTCGCCTGCGTAGGACACAACTTGCTCAGTGGCCGTCAGCTCTGTCCTCTGCAAGGAGTGGAGATCTGGCCTTTCAGAGTTGCGCCGCCGTATCTGTCGCGTCCCCTAGTGCTCTTTGCCTAATGTGGTCCTTGCCGCTCACGGTTGCGGAGCTTACACGCCAAGCATGGATACTTCGGTGGTTGGTGCCGCCGCCAGCCGCTCTGGGCGGGCGGACGAGCTGAAAGGAGACAGTAGCCCCCCTGCAAACCCCACTGGAGCAACAAACAACCTGATATTCACACCGAGAAGGCCACCTGGCCCCAAAGACACGGGAGCTAGGGACCTCGTGGGGTTGGATTTTTCTGACGTGGGATTCCGTCCCTGCTCGCTTACAATTCTAGACAAGAAGGAGGATCTGTTGTGCACGAGGCTGAGTAAACCGCTAGATACTGTACACAGTCGAGTGCGGATTACAGGTCATACTCCACGTCGCTTCCTCCGAATAGGCCCACGTTCCGTTTTCCCCTTGAACCCCGATTTTTCTAACCTTGGTGCCCGTCATATTGCATCGAAGCCAAATGGAGCCCAGAACACACACGCTGCCCCCGCATGAGACAATTTCAGTGAGACTGCTGAGAGTGCTGTCTGGAAGAGGGTGCAGCACCCGCCGAATTGCGGTGGGGGTCGAGGTAGCAGGCCTTGTGGCGATCCAGCAACATGCAGGAGGATCAACTGCGTGCTACCAGGCTTGGCTGGCTAGCCGCCGGATGGAATGGTCCAAAGGTGGTGGCGGGTATTGTGCATGAAATGGGACTGTCGGCCCAGCTGATTTATAATTGCCCAGCAACTGACAAGAGGGCGTCCCTGTGATTACAATCCGGAGGCGGGGTAGGACCCAGATATCTGGCTGGAGCCCCAATCGAGCCTTCTCGCAGGGAGAATAGGCGTCAGAGAGGCATGTGGCTTGGGAAGGGTGATTCCAGAGCTTGCCCGAACCTAGGGAGGAAATAATCTATCTTGCTGTCAATGGCAAACTCCTGCATCTGCCAAATCACCTCCCCTCAAGACAGTGTGGCAGGAACAAAGCCCCGCTCGGCGGGCGGGAATGGCGGGGAGGTACCTCCTCCCACCTGCACCCTGATCCCCACTCCCTGGCTGCGCCAATGCATCCGCCCAGTGCCGCCCACCCAGCTCCTGCGCCTTCCGCGAGGTCAACCCCCTCTCGCGCGCCAAACCAAGGCGTGGGGCTCTGTGGGCAAGCTGCACCTCCTGCTCCCTGAAAAAAAAGACAGGTGTTCTTAAACTTCTGTCGGATTCGTCCCATCCTCCAGACGGACACGCTTGCTTTATAAAGGCAACGCAACGTCAAGCACCCAATTCAGTTTTCCCTCCTCCCATCCCCCCAATTCCCAGAACCCCATCCGCAGTCGCACAGCGCGACTTTCTCTGGCAGAACCCTGCGCCTTGCCCCTCAATAATTTTGGCAATTGTTGAACAGACTGCGCAACGAGCCGCCCTGGTTTCTGTGCAACATGCCCACCCCAAGGAGCCTGGCCCTCGGCTTTCTGGCCGCCGCCACTGCTGTCTCGGCCTCTGATGTCGTCCAGCTCAAGACGGACACCTTCGATGAGTTCATCAAGGGCAACGACCTGGTTCTGGCCGAGTTCTTCGCGCCCTGGTGGTGAGTCCCTCTCCGCCCCTCCAATGCCACCTGCTGCCGTCATGGTTGCCTCCGCCCCTGCCCTTCGTGGTTCCGTGCGCTGACCCCGGTTTGCCTCACTTGACAGCGGCCACTGCAAGGCTCTTGCGCCCGAGTACGAGGAGGCTGCCACCTCGCTCAAGGAGAAGGACATCAAGCTCATCAAGGTCGACTGTACAGAGGAGGCGGACCTGTGCCAAAAACATGGCGTTGAGGGCTACCCGACCCTGAAGGTTTTCCGCGGCGCCGACAACGTTTCTGCCTACAAGGGCCAGAGGAAGGCTGCTGCGTAAGTTTATTCGTCCTCATATCGCCACCCAGGCAAACCGTCGCAAAGGATGCAGCAATCTAATCTTGGACGCCTCCACCTCTAGCATCACATCCTACATGGTCAAGCAGTCGCTCCCGGCTGTGTCGCTTCTTACTAAGGACTCGCTTGAGGACTTCAAGAAGGCCGACAAGGTTGTTATCGTTGCCTACATCACCGCCGATGACAAGGCCTCGAACGAGACCTTCACCAAGGCCGCCGAGAAGCTGCGCGACAACTACCCTTTCGGCGCCAGCAACGAGGCTGCCCTGGCCGAGGCCGAGGGCGTCACTGCCCCCGCCATCGTGGTCTACAAGTCCTTTGACGAGGGCAAGTCCGTCTTCAAGGAGAAGTTCGACGTCGAGGCTATTGAGAAGTTCGCCAAGACGGCGGCCACTCCCCTGATCGGCGAGGTCGGTCCTGAGACCTACTCCGACTACATGTCGGCCGGTATTCCCCTGGCATACATCTTCGCCGAGACTGAGGAGGAGCGCAAGACACTCAGCGACGCCCTCAGGCCCATCGCCGAGAAGCACCGGGGTGCCATCAACTTTGCCACCATTGATGCCAAGGCTTTTGGTGCTCACGCTGGCAACCTTAACCTGAAGGTCGACAAGTTCCCCGCCTTCGCCATCCAGGAAACCAGCAAGAACACCAAGTTCCCCTACGACCAGGAGAAGGAGATCACCCACGACGCCATCTCCAAGTTCGTCGAGGACTTTGTTGCGGGCAAGGTTGAGCCCAGCATCAAGTCTGAGCCGATCCCCGAGAGCAACGACGGCCCCGTCAAGGTTATTGTCGCCAAGAACTACGATCAGATCGTTCTCGATGACTCCAAGGATGTCCTGGTCGAGTTCTACGCCCCGTGGTGCGGACACTGCAAGGCTCTGGCTCCCAAGTACGAGGAGCTTGGCGAGCTCTTCGCCAAGAGCGAGTTCAAGGACAAGGTCGTCATCGCCAAGGTTGACGCTACCGCCAACGATGTCCCGGATGAGGTCCAGGGCTTCCCCACCATCAAGCTCTTCGCCGCCGGCAAGAAGAGCGAGCCCGTCACCTACAGCGGCTCGCGCACCATCGAGGACCTGATCACCTTCATCAAGGAGAACGGCAAGTACAAGGCCGAGGTCTCTGTTGCGGCTGAGAAGGAGACTCCAGTCGCCCAGGCTGCCACGGAGAAGGCTGAGTCCACCTCGACCGGAACTGCGGCCGAGAAGGAGACCGATGTCCATGACGAACTCTAAATGATATGGCTTTCCGTATTCCTTTTCTTTACACCGGGGGGCACACGATTTTTCTCATGTAAAAAAATACCAGGGACTAGGTTACGAGAATGGACACTTTTGCAATGAATTGACTTAGTCGAGCACTGGCCGCTTGAGTAAGATGCACCCTTATTTAGACGTCTAAGCGAATGCAGTCTGTAGGTATGCTTCAGCCGCACTGCACTGCACGCACACGGTCCGTCGGTCGGTTGGCTATGTCAACGTGGCCATTCCCGTCGCTTGAGCTGAAGGGAGCCGCGAGTCTTGGCAGGGGCCGTCTGAGCTCCGCATTTGCCACCCCCTTACCCAATCTACGGGCTGTAGTTCTGCCAACGCAGACCGCCCAAGAGATCGTGCCATCCCCGTATGGGTATTTCCTTGCCTTAGAGGCTCGCTGCCCAGGAGTCTGGTGCGTCCCCCTGCTCATTCTCCACGATTTCTGTCGATCACCCCAGAAAACAACAAACTTTCCTCGCAGAGCGCGCCCGTCTCCGTCTCCCACGACAGCCTACTCCATACGTATTACGCCAGCCAATACCCACGCGACCATGTCATCCAGAATCTTCTCTCCCGGCGCGCGCGCGCTGGCTCAGGCTTCGGCCGCCTTCCGCAGCGGCCGTACCTTCCAGACGACGTCGCGGCGATTTGATGCTGGCGCTATCCCGCTGCCAGCCCGCAAGCCCGTCGGCGCCTTTCGCGGAGGGTGAGTGGCTGTCCTTGCGGAACGATCCTGCGCGCGCTTGCTTCCGTGGCTCTGCTGTCGTCCTTTCGTCCTCTTGTTCTATCACTAACGCATGACACACCCCACCCAGCCTCTTCGGATTCCTCCTGGGCACGACGTTGGCCGGTAGTGGTGTCTACTACTACGTCCTGCAGGAGTACAAGGCGTCCAACGAGCTGCTGACAGAGGATATCTACGTGCGTTATTGCATCTAAACGCTTTCCTCTTTCATTTTGGCATCGAAAAACCACACAGCACGGCACCTATAGACACATCATCTCGTAATTACTCCGGCTTCGAGACAAGCCAAATCTCGAACTCCCCCTTCCCCGCCTCATAGTCGCCACCGAGTCGGGAACGGTGCGTCCGTTGAAGATGATGCGAGCTAACGCGGTGCACGTCGGGCGTTTTAGAATCTGCAAGCTTCAGTTCAGCGATTGAGCACCTACTTGACAAATCTAGAGGAACGGATAGAGGCCACGGAACGTAAAAAGAAATAGAGGGACAGGGAAAAAACAGAACGGCGTCTACGAAGGGATAGGATGACCGGAAAACACCACAGTTGGCTGGTTGACACCGGGATGGCCTGAGGGTAATAGGTCTGGCGGCTCCCAAGACTGAAACAATTAACGGAAGGCAGGCATCTACCATTCGTAGCAATCGAGGCTGTAATTGCTGGAACAAAGAGGTTGTCCGATATGTGTTTGCGCTCAAGGTCAAGCTCTTGGCACCATGCTGATCCGAGATCGTGAAGCCGCCTGGGGCAGCTTCTTGCCAGTAACAACAGCTCACTAATAGATGGCGTGTGTGATGCAGGGCCGACCTGCATGACCGGACCGTTTCATCTAGCTAGCCCAGGTGGCCGATGTGTGTAGAAGTCGGCAGCCAGTGGTGAGCCTTTTCTTCTACTTTCTTTTGGGCCACCAGCCACATGCAGCTCTTGCAGGATTGATTCCTGTGACGTGCCTTCTCTGGCCCAGCTGCACGGCACCTCCTCAGAGTCCAGCAGAAAATTGAGCACCAGGGGAAAGGTCAGCTGACTTCGTGCGCCAACATGATCGAAATTGCCCCGCATTGCCTGCAAGTCGCGTCGGTCACGTCTTCGTAATTCCGACAGCTCACCTAGACAGCTCAGCCTTTTGTCATCAAAGTCATGACACAAAAGTTCATGTGCCTTATCGTCAAAAGCGCATGATTGAGCGAACACTGCCAGGACGAAATCGCCTAAAAGATGACGATTGGTATCCAGCGCCTCAATGCGAGGCGGTCGCAGCCCAACCCCAACATCATCTTCATCAAACCCCTGAAGGGCCCCGATGAGGCCACCGCCCAGGACTTCCTAGAGAGGATTGCAGCTCAATGTCGTAAGCTGCTATCCCACATAGCCTGATTTGTCATGCGATATCCCTGGTTTAATCGTCATCAGTATTGACCAGCAGCGACGCTGCCTCTCCTCCAGTGCCCATCATGAAGGAGCATTGTATCTCGGTCATGTCGCTAGAGGAGTACGAGCCTAATGCCGAGTTCGTCGGCCGGAACTTCAATGCTGGCGAGGTGATCCAGCTGGTTCTCAAGGCGCGCTTCACGGGCCGCTGGCTGCCGTTCGAGTACGTGCAGATGGTCATGATGCACGAGCTCGCGCACTGCAAGCAGATGAACCACTCGCGCGCCTTTTGGGCCGTCAGGAACCAGTATGCCGAACAGGTGCGCCAACTCTGGACCCGCGGCTACACGGGCGAAGGTATCTGGGGTCGTGGGGCGCTCCTGGCCACGGGCTCCTGGGAGGCCAATACCGTCCTGCCTGACGAGCCGCTGCCGGAGCACCTGTGCGGCGGCACGTACCGGTCGCGGAGGCGGGGTAAGAGGAGGAGGGCCAAGCAGCCGGAGCTCTCGTACCAGGAGCGCAAAGAACGGCGCATACTCAAGAAGTTTGGGGCAAACGGGGTCGCGCTAGGCGAGGATGAAGTGGTCAAGGCGGAGCTCGAGAAAGGCAAGCGGACGGCGGCGAAGCCCCGCGTGGCTGGGAGCAAGAGGGGCAGAGAGCTACGTGCCGCGGCGGCCCTGGCCCGGTTCGGGCGGCAGACGCAGTCGAAGCTAGAGTTCAAGCCGAAGGGCGAGCCGGATGAGAAGGAGACCCCTCGCGTGAAAAACGAGGCTGGCGTGAAGGAGGCCGCCAAGGTAAAGATTGAGGCCGACACCCCGACTGCATCCGAGTCGGAAAGCACCGTTGGAGTCAAAGAAGAGGACATCTCGACCGCCTCGGAATCGGAATCGGAAGATGACGAGGGGGAAGACTACGACGAAATCAAGACGGAGCCCGGCCTGCCCGACGCTGTGGACATCGACGGAAAGACTATGCGTGACGGCAAAGGCCGCGGCATGGTCAAGGTGTGCGAGGACGAGAGTCCCGACGACGAGGAAGCCAGGCAAGAGTTGGTCGAGCTCAGGTCGTCGTTCAGACAGAGGGCTGCTCGGCGTGACAAGGCTCCCAGTCCGGCGCCAGCAAATTCAGATGCGAAACGCAAAGAAGCAACGCCCAAAATGGACCCGCCTCCTGCAATGAATAAGCTGAAGGCGGCGACGGGTAGTCAGCGCGTTTCTGACGCCGCCACACTGGCGCACCCCAAGGCCAGGGACTCGCCCAGCACATGCGCTCCTTCGGCTTCCTCTACGGGAAACGCTGCCAAGCCCCGCAACAGCCACGGGGTGTGCACTGTCTGCTCGTTTGCCAACGAGACGCTCGCGCTTTGCTGCGCCCTGTGCTCCAACGTGCTCGATCCAGCAAAGGACAAGAGGGCATGGAGATGCAGTAGCGGGACGTGTGCAGACAGTGACTACGTCAACGCCGGTGACTGTGGTATCTGCGGCGTGTGCGGCTCGCGCAGGAGCACATGAAGCAGGGGTAATGGGGGACAAATCTGGCTGTGTCCCGGTGGATTGTTTGCTTCATCATCACACAGAAACCGCCGGCGCCGCACCGAGCGACACACTGCGCACGTAGCTACGAGAGAACGAGTGGACGAAAGGCGTGGTATTTTGTTATGATGTCCATGCTGGGCATATGTTTGTACTTTATTGGCTCTCACACAGCTTCTGTTGATGGGGATTTCGCCGGGCAGAGTTGGCAGCCCTGCTTCGATGGCTGGCGAGTCAGAGGGAGGCGGATCGCCAACATGGCTCGTTTGCGTGCTGTTATCTGGAGTCGGAATGTTTCTAGAACACACGGGTTTCTAGACGGGCGGGCAAAACGATTGGCGTCGATCTGGCAATCGCTGTATGGGAAATCCGGACGTCGGGCGTCCCTGGCTCCCCTTCCCGCCCGTCGACGGTCCAGTCGGGAAGCAGGACTGGCGAAACGGACAGGGGCATTTCACTGGAGCTGTTGTTTCACTTGAAAAAGGGGGGCAGGGTCTGCCGTTCTTGGGTCACATCGGCGCCCACGCCGGGTTTTTTTTTCTTTTTCTTTTTCTTTTTCGTTATCGATAGGTCGCGGAGCCTCTCTCGATTTGAAGTGTCCATCACATTCCAAATCGAGTAACCAACTTCAAGCCCGCCGCAGGACATGTGGGGGGCGCGTCAAATAATTCGACAAATAATTCGACAACCGAGCGTTTGCACGCACGCGCATATACCCCACCCACTCCCACTCCCACTCTCCCGGCGGGGCATTCTATTGGCGACTCGGGCCGTTTCAAGGCAATGCCGCCATCAAGCCACTCAAGGACGAAAAAGGGAGCCATGGAGCCACGGGGAAGAGGCTCAGCCTCGCGGATCAGCTCTCGCGGGGGTGCGCTTACCGGTATTCCGTGTTCCTGTCCATGCGATTGCATGAACTGAGCGCCACAGGGATCTTTGTGCGTGTTTTATTCTTCTCTTCCATCTCTCGGTCTCCTCCTCTCGCGGAGTCCGGCATGTCGTTCTTCAAGCCCGCGCTCAACCGCTGCTCCCTTATCCCCTCTGGCTGGGGTACGGGGTGCTAGGGAGAGTCGTCGTGGGACAACAGCTGCTCCATTGGCGATCCTCGGGCGATCCTCAGGCGATCCTACTATAGACCGAAGGAGGGCGGAGGAGGAGCAGAAACACGGAGGGCAGGCATTGGGAGCTAGCTGTTGACAAACGCTCTACCTACTACAACCAGAATACCTGTGGAAGGGATTTCCCTTCCTTTCACCTGGGTGACAAACGGCGCATACCCTGCCTCAGCTTCCCGTTAGTCCAGACGATCCGCCGCCCCAGCCCGACGAAGGGGAAAAGAAATGTAATGTGTCATGTCACCCTCTCCAGCAAAAGGGGGTGGCCCTTTTCATATTCCCTCAATGTCTCTGTTTGATTCTTTTCTGTGGCTCCCTCCCCCGTTAGTGATTCGAGGGCGGCGTTTGCTATACTCGTGCGGGCTAAAAGCGCCTGCAATTTAACGGTCCTCCGGAGTAAAGTGCGGCGGGGCAATTCGACGTTTTCGGGGCAATTCGACGTTTTCTATAACATTTTCCCCA